TCCACACTGGAGCGCTACTGCAATGGCAGCGCGTCGACGCTTTGTCATCGTCGATGTTGAGCACTGTCTTGGTTCGCAGTCGTAGCCAGCGCAGAGGCATAGCGAGCGCAAGCTATATCAGGAGCCATCAACACAAGGTGGCAGTGCGGCGTTATGTCAAGCCTATGAGCTGCTGAATACTCTGCTGATTTGCGCGCAATGACTCGACGCGGGATTAATGTTAGAGGCCTTGGTCTACATTGAGAGTGTGTAAAACTACTGGGGAAGGAGTTAGAATCTTGCCGTTGTTGTTCGGTAATCCTACACCAGGGTTCGACTATTGGGATAAGTGGAGGTGAGAGTAGAATTTTACTTCGAAAGAGCTTGCCCTGAAGATGTCTCGCATGTTGGATTTCTTTGGACACACAGAATCCAGTGTAGAACCTGCTTCATGCGCGCTCTAGAATCTTTGCGGTGGCAGCCTTCTATGAGCTGATTTCAGCTAGTTTTTGAAGTTTCTTATATATTCTAAAGTCATGATCCCTGCAATCAGTTGACTGGGCGTGTCACTGCGCGTGTATATTAGAGCAATGCCAAACGGCCTTTCACTGCGATGTTACCTTTCTAAATTTACACCTGTATCACCTGTGCTCCCGTTGATCATCGAGTTCCTCGAGCGGGCGCCAGTAACGTCTCCATTCGTCCCTGCAACGTGCAAGAGTTGCCCAATGGACTCTCTCTGCTCGAGGGACACGATGAACTTCATTTCGTTCAGAGCTTTCACGAAGAAGTCTGACCATCGCATAGGCGGTCGTCCAGGCGTTCGCTTGACATCCCGTGGAATCCAGTCGGTGATCGCTCTGGTCCAGCGGTCGTCCTCGAAACGCATGACGTGTCCGGCCCACCTGATCTTCGAAACCTTGGCAAATGCGGCGGCGTCTCTGATCTTCGATCGTCGGCGGAGTGCGGAGCTCCGGATTCCCTCTCACTTGCATGTAGCGGGAAACTTCGAGCATCGCGTAGCAGTCGATGCCTCCTCGTCTCGAACAGTCCGATGACGTATCTTCCTGGCTTGCAACATCCGATTTGATGTGAGCTTCTGAAGCGAGCGTCCGTCCGATGGAGCCCATATTTATTAACTTTTCGGTGAAGAAATTGAAATGGTGTGTGAAGAAATTTGACCACGCGTAGCTCGCCAGGCTCTGACGTGGCACCCTCCGCATTGGTACGGTTTGGAACAGTCCAAACCGTTCACCCCCACGCCACGTTGAGGCTGCGGATAGGATTTGGGAAATAGGAAATTCACAACAGCTAGTGGAAAATGCCGTTTTGGCCGCGCTCCTGTTCACGCCCCTTCAAACTCACTATGGTTTGCAGCGATCATGACTACACCCTTTCATAATCCCTGCGAGTCCTTATCATTCTATATTTCCTTCCCGTTCACACTTGCTGCAGTTTTACGAAATGGAACACTTCATTTTGATCAAAGACCTTCGATTAAATGCAAAAATTCAACCTTCGCAAATAAACTGTGCTTTAGTGTTACATCCGTGGAGAAGGAAAGTATGATCTTGAGCAACTCGCAAAGTTTTTGGATATGAAACCACTGTCAACTGATGTCGACTGCGACCAAAGTATTAATGAGAAGACTGACAAGCAACAACTGACTAGCTCCAGAGCTCTTATCTGAATAGATATACATTGAGGGGAATTTTGTTTACGTTAAATCTATTCCTTTTTAAGTGATGCTTGCTAATATTTCGAAGAACTTCTTGCAAATCAGTGAGACCTATTTTAATAAGGTCGTTTTGAATAATTGATAATATTATCAAGATATCTGAAAGCCTTAGTGTATTTCGCAATGCATAGTGTCTTTTCCACTGTAACAGTGTTTCAAAGTCGATGGAGAGAATTTTAAGTTGCAAGCATATTGTAGTGGCATTTTTTCGTATTGCGTCCCCTTAACACTATTTCTTACGGGATAAATAAACAGTTAATCTATGACAGATGTTCCTTTTTGTCCTTTGTTAATTATAGTGACCGAGTGTGCGATAACTACAGTCCTCATCATTGCGGACTGTCGGAGGCGGCGTGAGCAGCGCGGTTCGAGTCCGCGTTCGGCTCCCTTGCTCTACCAATGGCGATCGGGTAGATCGATTTAGGAAGGAAACAACCAATGATGGAAACGCCGCATGTGAGAACCGCTGATTGCGACCCGACAATTGCGGTGATATTAGTGCA